TAAATACTTATAATATGGTAATTACTTATATTGGCTTTTGTTTAAATAGTATAAAAAATATATGTTTCTCTACTTACTTCTTGAAAATTACGCAATCGATTTTAATTTGAGGAAAAGGGATTGCTAGCAATGCTGATTATCAATCTGATTTCCCCTCTGGAAACCATCGTGCTGTATTCATCAAAATAGGCTAACTGATCTGCCTTTTCATTTTCACCTATTATAACTCACCGGTGCTCTGCCAGCATATACCGTTAGGATAGGCAGGCTACAATTCCATTATCATCCATTAAAAAAAATCGATTTTGATAAAAGTTTTACTGTCATTTATATATTTTTACGGAAGACATAAATACACAACTTGTATTCATACAAAGCCAAGACGGATAACTAGTAGTATTATATTAAAAGATATCTTTCTTGTACTATAAAAAGTAGGGCAATAGAGAAGAAAGTACAAGATTATCTGTCATCACTCTCTTGTATTGATTGTACCGAATATTGTGCGACTGGATATTATATTATAATCAAGATTATAGGAGATGAAAGCTGAATCCCTAGGAATTTCCAATAATACCACCCATGATCAAAGGTAACCATAGTAGTAAATCCTCACTAATATAATAAACATTGAAAATTAGTTCGTTTGTTTGTTTTTTTTTTTCTTAATACAGAGGGTAAACGAGTATGCCGTTCACCTGATGGCAAGTGACTACCTATGAACACCAACAACACCTGGGGAATTACAAATGTGCTGTCAGCCTTTTAAAAAGGAATATGCTCTTTTCTTGTAGTTTAGGATGCGATATCGATTCGAAAATATTGCTGCTGGTTTCCAAAATGTGGATGTAGGTGGAAGAAGGTGCCTTGAAAAGCACACGGTAGAAGTCCGCCTCTCCTTCAGATGATTGGGATGGAACTTTAGGTTGTGGCGGATTTTACGATATTGAAATTTAGCAGCAGGTATCAATCCGAACTATTCCTTAGAACACTCCTTATAATACATTTTATAGAAGATGCATAGAGTTGCAACGTCTCTACAATTGACGTTATTATGAAATTTGATGTTCACATAATATTTCGGACAGAGAACGACATGGGTTTAGTCTATTTTTAAACCCGGTCACACAGATGAAATACGAGTAAAAACTAGTTATAATTTATATAACGGTACATTTACCTGGCTGCTAAAAAGTAATGTTTTTCAGGTGTATGTACTTGTCATGCAACTATATATATGTAAGATATACATATATATATATATATATATATATATATATATATATATATATATATATATATATATATATATATGTATTATGAATAATTAGTTCAACGTGGAGTCTATTTTTACTTAATATTACTTTTTTTTTTATAAAATTCACATCTCTCTTAAAGAGAAAAGATGGAAAACTAACCCCAGACAGAACCGCAGTCGGCCGGAGTTCAGGGCCCCAGGGAGAAGAAACGGCACGCTATGCGAACAGTATCTAAAAGCACCGTTTTCTCCGTCTTTATTATATTATTATGAAGACGAAAAATTTTTAGATTTTTCTTAATGGTGAAAGTATTTTATGTAAAAAAAAAACTGTACAATTTTATTCAAATAATCATTTTCCAATACTTGTATAATATAGAAACACCAAAAGGGCATTCTTAATCTATGTAATTTTAAAACTACAGAAATTTACGTATACATAATAAATAATATATATCTTAGATAAGATTAGTTATAAATATACATATATAAATTAAGCACTATTTCTGAGGTAAGAACCCATAGATAAAGAATAGTAAATTTTATCATTGAAAAAATATTGTCATTATACACTATATGTCATTAATTTATTATGTGCCTCTAATTAATACCAGAAGTACCAAAAACTCGACATACTATGCGCCCCGTTTTTGTATATAAGAAATATTCACAATATTTCAAAAATGTAAAGAGAATTGCCTGGTATGTACTCAATTTCATTTGAAATAATTTGATGTCTCATATAATCAGCCACTTTTGTCAGATCTAACCTATACATAAAAAACATATATATATATATATATATATATATATATATATATATATTTTATATTTATATATATATATATATATATATAGTTTGTAGTTATATACATAGTTAGTAATAAACGTTTAAATAAAGTCTTTTTCACAAAAAAAAAATACAAAAATTTTATTAAAATTAGCACGCTGAAGTTTTAAATTAAGAATCATCAAAATTAATTAATTCCTTTATATAAATACTGAGCAACATACACACACACACACACACACACACACACACACACACACACACACACACACACACACACACACACACAAAATTATTCAATACGAAAAATTAAAAACCATCTGTTTTAGAAGTTGGATAAATATTAATTAGAAGTCGTGTAAACGAATCTATATTACTCTTATATTACTAGTCAAAGGAGACAACATCCAACGTCATAAATAATATACATTGTCAAAGGTAAATTTGTCGCATTTTTATTTCATTTCTTTATCCTTGTATCTGTGGCATAAGAAATGACCCACATAATTACTTATTTAATAAAAGAAGCTATTAAAATATTACACTCGTATCAAGGAATGAAAAAGGCGGCCGTCTTTCATTAATATCAGGACATTCCGAGGGAAGGCCGAATTGAGTGCCATTCAGAAATGTATTAATGAGTGAAAGCAAATATTTTTGTATATCATATATTAACGTCAATAGGTATGTACGATGCCACAACCTCATTTATACATTTTCAATTCAAAATTAATTTTCCACTCATGTTAACAAACAGGACTGTATCAGCTATATGCTAGGAACAGGTGGGGACAGATAATAGCGTATTGTTATTCAATAGGCATTTTAATGGCGGTTATAGTCAAAGCATATACGATTTATCAATTAATACTATCAACATTAGACAGATTATCTTAATCAACGTTATATTATCAATTATTATCGAGCAGGTAGAATACTGTATCTGTTTACTTTAGTATTGTTAGTATTATTAATTTAAATAAAATGGATGACGTAATATAATTTAATTTTATATATACAATATCTAATATATAAAATTCTCGTGTCACGGTGTTTGTTACCAAACTCCTCCGAAACGGCTTTACCGATTTTTATGAAATTTTGTGTGCATATTGGGTAGGTCTGAGAATCGGCCAACATCTATTTTTCATAACCCTCAATGATAAGGGTGACCCTCCCCAAAAAAAAAATTATTTTTTGACAAATTTTTCCATTTTTATTTTATTATGATTTAGCATTAAATTAGATTTTTAACATTAGAAAAATACATACAACCTCAAATTTTCACCGTTTTACGATGCAATATAGCAATCCAATATAATAACTGTAGTAGGATAAATTTTCATGTATAGTTCTAAAAATAATGTATATGGTAAAACAACGTTTACCGAGTCAGCTGGTATGTTTATAAATATATTACTATTTTAATCGTCTGAAATTAATGACATGCGTTATTTCTCAATCAATTATCAGTTATATTGATTAATGTGTTCATTGACCCGAATGAGCCTTCTTCCATTCCAACTTTCTTTACACATAGACATGTACAGAATTTTTTGAAACGTAACGTAACGTTTCAAGAAATACAAACAAACAAAATATTACCAAACAACCTTTATAATATTAGCAGGCTATGGTAATGTATCAAAATTATTTCTTAGAAAAGTTTATCATGATTGTTGATTGGTTGATATCAGTGCTTAATCAATGTTTAATTAATAATAGAAACAATACAAGTGTGATTCAGTAGCAGGGATTTAATTAAGTAACATAATATCTTGAGATAAACAATTTTCTGTAAATTAATCCTTACTAAACAAATAAACTCATTTTCATATTTATAACATTGTAAATGTATAAGTGTTTTTTTTTTCTTACTCCATGACATTCAACTAATTATCAAGAAATTTAGTATATACCTACGTATTTGGAATAAAGAAGGGCTAAAGGTACTTTTATTCTGATCAATCTACATATCCCGGTTATACAAAGTTACGGATAAATCTTGTAAAATATATATATATATATATATATATATATATATATATATATATATAATGTCTGTATCACTAATATTTATTACTTACTTGAATCTATATATAGCTATCCATTTCATTTATATATCATATACAAACACTAAATTTAAATAGATTAAATATAGGCATATTCCAGGTTACACTAACAGAACCAAGATAAGACTAAAAAATACGTCTAATATTAAATACTAACAAAAAATAAATATTATACAAATTATATTCTGTATATAAAATTTATATAGGTACGACGGGTTCGTCATCGTCACTTTCAGCGTAAAAATATCCCTTAAAATAATAAAGAGAAAGTCGCTATTATCCTGATATTTATAATAGCGAATGTTATATAGAATAGTTATTGGAATACAAATTTGAAGCTGTGTTTTGTAATATTTCTCTTATAATGTATTAATTTGCAAATAATTATCTATATTAATACATTTTCTTATAATTGTTGTATTATATATAAACATTTTAATATTCTCGTTGATCTGTAGGTAAACAAAATTATATGAACTTTGTAACATACCTATAAGTAACAAATAAATAATTTGTGTAAGTGGCGGTTAGTAAGTATAATAAATATATCTGTCTAGCTAGGTTTTGGTTATGACATAATATTAGTTTATTGCCAAAATTGACTGTGGTGTACATATGTTTTACTGTGACACATACATAATTCTGTTTTGTAACTCATCCTTGCTTTTTTATTTTTAAGCTACCTATTTTTTCTTTGTGGCAATATGTGTTGAAGGTAGAAATAGTTTTATGTACTTATTTAGGAAACATATTTTATTTAATAACCTAAACCCAAAACTACCACCAAGCAGTTTAAAATTTTTGTTTAAATTTTTACAGACTTTTACAAAGTATAAAATTTTAATTAATTTATATTATTGCTTTATATTACAGGTATATATATTATACATTTTAAATAAAACAAAAATGTGCACTAACCGGGGCCTAGTCGACAATCTAGAATGTTACATGGACGACCTTGTGGATTGCTTCGATGATTTTATTAAGAAATCTCTAATCATCGTGTCCGTTGCAATCGGCGCGTTAGTTATTATGCTGGTTTATGTGTTAAAAATAGTTACCGAACGTCCGCAAGTTGCACACACTACCACGGGTAAAGTTTTCATTCTATTCCAATAATTATGTTTTATTACATTCTATACAATTACTAAAAGCTATACTCACGATCATAATCTCTAATGGACTAGTCAGAGGCATTTTTTAAGGAATGATAACAATGGTAACCCCGCCTGCGTTATCGGTATACGCTAGTGCAGCACCAGTGAACAATAATGAGTGATGATGAAGTCAGGCCAGTTGGCTCGTCATGACGAATTCATCAGGAATTAATCACGATAGTTTGAGACTACGCCATACAATATTCGACACGCCCATATTTCATTGTGTGTATTAGAATCTAACACTACTTTAGAATCCAAGCCAAATGGACCAAATCTGATTTCGTTTTCACCTAACATTATTGATTACCTATCATCCCTTACTGGTGCCCCGCTACCGTAACCATACATGCGGGTTTACCATTCCATTATTTTAGGAAATGAATCAAACATAAGCTTACAAAACACTGGCTTATCATTTAGCCATAATACTGACATACGGAGTAACATACTACAAAGTGCCAAAAGCAGTAAAAACTCGATGAAAAACAATACCGAGGTACACAGTCCAGAACAGTCCTGCAAGAGAACCACGTCCGCGAATACAGACACTTCGCCAAGTGAATCAAGTTTAGACGAGAGCGTGCTGAGAAATATGGGATTCTCGAATTGTTCTAAAGTAAGTTTGTTTATCCCAATGTTCGTAAATTATTGTTGATCGCTTTTATATTACCGTAGTACGAAATAATACGGTATGATTTTATTGTCACAATTATAATCGGAGAGCGAAATGTATTGAATTATAGTATATTTCAATAGAATTCTAATAAATGATAACCAAATAGAAATACACTTTTAATGAAATTAGTCGATTTTTTATTTGTACTACGTACTGCTAAACATAAACATATTTTTCTTTTTTTTTATGCATCTTAGAATGGCAAACAAGCTGACGGCCCACCTGATGAAAAATGGTAACCGTCGCCTATAAACATGATCTGTCATGTACTATGGACATAACAGAGTATAATGTTTCGTCCATGATATGATTTGCGTTGCCATTCCTGAGGACTTAGGTATTGTTCGTTTCTATCTTGTAAATTTACTGCCATATCCCACCCTTTCCTTTATAATGGATTGTGTTCTGAAGAACTCTTCAATATGGTGCCTACAGCTACCTTTCATTGTCGTACCGCTCGCCATCGTCAGAGAATCCATCCTCACATCTTACAACTTGAATGGTCATGCCCAGTGCGATTTCAGAGGAGCTTACTCCGGTTGTGGAATGATCTTACTGCTGAGGCTTTCCCAAAAGACTACAGCATGGGGTTCTTTAAAAGAGGGTGTATTAAGATTTCTTAAGGTGACAACGCGCGCATGACATCCCTGGTGTTACAGGCGTCCATAGGCCATGGTAACCTCGTTTACCATTAGATGAAAGGTTGTCTGTAAGAGATTGCCCTAGCGATAAGACCATCTTTTGTACCTTTATGTGTATATTTCAATCTGTATTAATGTTAATGTATTTCACTTGAATTATTCACTTGTCATTGTATATTTTTATTTATGGTGCAATAAAGAGTTAAATAAATAAAATAAATAAATAAAATGAACCGTATCCTAGTTTGCCAACAGTAAAAAAACAATCTTATGGACTAATTAATTATTCGTTTGTTTATATTTTCATTTTATCCTTTTGAAACAGACTATATATGAAAATATTTCCAATTATCCGCCACAATATCACTGACATGCACGGAAAACTAAATGCTTATTTGTATTAGCGCATACTTTCCCTTTTCTATTTTATCATCACGATAAAATCATAAAATATCGTGCCGTATTACGGTAAATTACAAAAGCGTACTATATATATATAACAATTTCAATGTAATTAAACAAATATTTTTTTTTCTTCTTCTTCTTTAATACAAATTTAGATTAGCAATTAGATTGTTTTTATAAAAAGAATATAGACACGTTTTAATTTTATTAAAACTAGTCTAGGTTTTGACTTCGAAGATCCTTAGAAGATGAATAATCTTTGTCGGAGTACTTCGTCATATAACAATTGTTATACCTCTCAGTAATTTATGATATGTATATAGCTTATGAGTTATGGCCATATTATGTAAGCTTGTGAGATATAATAAAATATTTTTATTTATGGCAAAGCAATAAATAATAAGTATATAAATTATTAAAGTTGTACTGAATCGCAACGTGAAAAATTAATCATATTTATAAGGAAGTAAAATAAATAGTTATTAAACACAACAATTATCAAAATCCAGAACATTCGAGTTTTAACCAATTTAGAAAAGAACATTTCCTAATTACCGGAACGAGAGTCGACCCCGAGACCTCATGCGCAAAATAACATTCAATTTTCTATACAGTTTCTGTAGATTTCAGTTTCAAGTTGTCGGGAAAAATATTTTCTTCAACTTAATAATTTATTTCCTGAAGGGTCGGATATGACAGTGCAGTGAAATTACGGAGTACAGAGGTATACTGCTCAAGAATGGCACACTGGAATTCCCTTTATTTCCATGCACAACAATTTTCCATGACAGGAAAATTTACCCAATACTGGTAAAAAATACATAGTCGCTTTTTGTGCATTTTCTCTTGGAATAAAATATTTCTTTTCATTTACAGGGCTGCATGCCGAATAAAAAGTCTATAACGCGTAACAACAGTTCCGATACAAGGTATCAAACTATTATTGTGGTTAATTTCTTATTCTACTAACCAAAAGGGAAAAGGGAGCGATTGTTACTAATATGGGTTAGTAACCCTATTGCTAGAAATAGTCTATAAAAAATAGGGCATATTGCCCTACTTTTTATGGGTGAAAATAACCCCGTCTGTCTCGTCTGTATACGCTGGCGGGGCACCAGTAAGAGATGACAGATGAGTATGAAGTTAGCTCAATTAGCCGATTCTGACAAAATTCAAGAATACTTTAATCACAAAGTATTCTTGAATTCGTTCAGTTCGTTCAACATTGTTAGTAAGCTTCACTTAGCAAAATACCCTGTTAGGACGACTTCCTCGCGGTCTCCCTGGTAATTATACTGGTTTATTCCTGATGCATAAATCACGGTATGTTCCTCATCATCTCTTACACGTTACTACTTATCTCGCCCGTGTATATCGATAAAGCGTGCAGTTTCTATTATTTTATAATTTCTTCATCCTTTTAAAAAAAATGTAGAGAAAGCAACTTGTTGTAACGGTTGCTACTCCGAGTTCTGGTCCCCGAAAGTCAAGTGAAAATCAATTTCAAATGGCATGTCAAGTGAATTGAGAGAATTTTCCACATTTGGCAGACGGATTGGTAACCGAACTCAGGCTTTAAAGATATTTTAAGAGGGACGCTGCTGCCCATCCCTCACGCTCCCTTAGTCGGCTCTTAAGACACCCACAGGATAGAAAGAAATGGCCTATTCTATGCCAGGATCACACGGCCAACCGGAACCAAACGGAATCTTAATAAAGTTAAGGTGTCAGCCAAACTGCAATTTACGATCACACACATATTGTTGTTATTACAAATCTTAATGTCTTTTCAAGTTCAAGAATCACTAAGCCACAACAATCTTATATAACATACCTACTTTATTTTCTGCTTTGATGAGATTTCCGATATTTCAATAACAATACAAGAAAACTTAAAAGGATATCTACCGCTGAACTACTTATTTATTTAGTAGATATATATCAATAACACGAGCTCCTGGAGGAACAGATCATATGAAATCTGAAAGAGAGGAGCGCGAGCCGTGTTCCCGTAGAAATTGCTTATGAATTTATCATGAAAGCTAAGTACATCACATAGTCTCTAGCCCTGCCAACTTTTAAATACATTTTCTCTTTTATTTTTTAGAATAACTACCCCTAGTTTGCCGACTTGCATACTGTCTAGTAAGTATTTATTATTGACTTTTTTTAGTAAAAATTATCGAATCTAAAAAGAATTAAAGGATTTTTGTTTTTTTTTTTGTCTTTAAATGGCTACCTTTACCTTTAAAGTCTATATTGCTATTATCTTGTAATACAGTCTACTGCTGGATAAAATCCTCTTCCAAATTTCCGCTATCACTTTGCCTATACAAAGGACCATTCCTGTTCAATGTATTTGTGATAGTAACTCTTTTTTTACAGATCCCGTGCCTTTATCTGAACCATGTCAAGAATATGTACCTAACAGAGGCTCGTGTTGCTCTATGTGTTGTGATGATGATAATTGATGATAAGAATCAAGAAACATACAAGAATCATTCATATAACAATGGAAAATTCAAACAACCATTAAAAAGCAATTTACACGTTTGGCAAAATTTACTTGTGAAAGCATTTATTGGTCTAAGGTGCGCATAGAATGTTATATTTCATTACCTATGTAGTGAATGGCAAACGTTTTAAATTTACTGTTTTGTATTGTATTTTATACTGAGAATAAATATATTAAATTATCAACTCTTTTATAATGTTGGATGTAATGAAATTTTATCAATAAATAATTCCATTTTAGTATATAATAAATACAGTTAAAATTTGCAGTTTTCTCCAACATAGACAATACGAGTACGATCGTGTTAAATCGACAAATATCCATATTACAACTATCTTTATATGTATAATTCTTGCGTACGTATATGTGTTACTAAATACTTTCTAAACCACTGGACCAATTTGGATGATCTTTGTGTGTTTGAGTGGGTACCGGGAAGGCTTAATTTAACAATCGGACTCAATAGATGACAGTCACTTTTTAGGCAGGACAATGTTTTTCTAATATGCTAGGCTAAATATTTTTTTTATTTTATATATTTTTTTTGGACAAAGTAAAAAAATTATAAATACAGTAAATAATAAATACTCGTAGACATAGTCTTACATACATACTCATTATTTTAATATACCTCATTCATACAGTTGTAGGCATAGATTCAAATCAGAGCTCCCTGTCGAGTCTTTACCAAGAGACTACAGCATGGGGTTTTTCAAAAAAGAGGTAAAGAAGTTTTTGCGGGGTCGGCAATGCACGTGTATTGCAGGTGTTCATAGGCTACAGAAACCGCTTACCATCAGGTGGGACGTATGCTGCTTTGCCACCTCAATGGTAAAAAAAAACAAATGATTATTTCATAGTTTTCTTATCAAGAAACTGTAAATAGTTCATCATCATCATTGTCACCTTTGATCACTATTGTTACTTTATTAGTACATACATACATACATATCTGTCACACCTGTCTCCCATTAGGGCAGGCAGAAACAATGGAAAGCCAAATGTTTCGATTCAAACATTATTTATTAGTACTCGTATTACAATGATCGTGTAAATATGTTAAATATGTATGTGTGTTTTATATAATATATATTCTTATATATAAATACATTTATATGGTCATAATAATAAAGAAAATAATTCTCTCTCTGTTGTTTTAAATAAAAATAACAGGGACAACATAACGGTCGACCGTATAATAGACTTCTAAGAAAGGACTAGACTCTTTTGGATTTATCGTAATCAATTTGAAACAACCCTTAACTAGATGAAAGTCGTATTATGAACTCCATAATTCTAGGAAAAAACTATCCTTTTATATTAAATACAATTCTTTGTAAAGGTATTTTGATATTCTGATCTTAACTGCGTCACGTTAAATCACTGAACGGATTTTAATTAAATGGTGCGCAGATACCTACTACGTTGTCCTGAATTTCAAAATGGGATATTTTTTTTATTTTATAAATTACTAAGCAAAAACACATAACACTTCAGTCCTTAAGAATTTTAACGTATTAGACCCCCATAGGCAACACAATATATACAGTGATATCCATCAATAAGCGACGATTGCCACTTTCTATCAAAAACTTAATGTTTGTTCTAAATTGCACAGAAAAAAAGTTATTTACGTCTATACATTCGCGGGTAATACTACTAGTTATAATTATACTAGTTAACTAGTAGTATTTCTGAATTCGATTCCAGCGAACCCCGTTGCGATCACATTTGATAAATCGTATAATGAAACTCCATACAGACTTCATAGATTTCTCAGAGCAAACGCCTTATAACTTTATCACACCAAATATAATTTATAATACGCATCGCAATCGCATATTTAATTTATAACCAATCTTCAAGAATTCATATATATTTTTTAAAGATGAAAGTTCCACTTACGTTAGAAGTTTATGCTGGTAGGATACTAGTAATGGATGGTTTGTATGAAAACGAAGTCATGTTACAAATTTACCAGGAGTTATTATAATATTGCTCTAATCTGGTCCTCTCTGGGAATCCTAGAGACCATATAGAGCTCGACCAGACTTGGTATATTGCAAACAAATGGGGTCGCCAAACCCCTTACTGAGAATCCTTCTCTGTCACAATTCATATCTTTACTACCTATCTTTATTCGAAAGCCGACAGTTGCGATATTACTACAGCATTGATGGTGCTAATGGTATTACAAATAATTCCATATAAACCCCTAAAATATCGTCAGAAATGTCATACCATGTTACTACGAAAAATGCTTCTTTAAATTTGTAGAACTTAGAATGAAAAACAAGTTGAAAAATAAAATTTATTACATTAAATTTAAAGGGTTCCTTTTAATTATAACAACTGTACAGCCATAACTTTATCATTGAAAAATATATTGACTCTCTCTTATTGTTTTAGCCAATTCCAGTTTATTATACAAGCCAACATTTTCGTTTGCATATTTTACATAGCCTTGAGCATTCCAATACAAGGCGTAGGTATTCTCGTAAAATTTGACCCAAATGCACAATTCGTATCGTACAATAATGAAATGAACTTTCCTGAGTTCAAATAAACTTGGGAAAAATCAGAGAGTTTTAAAAAAGAATAAAATATTATAAGGATGAAAACATGCTATTGTGCGGTTCGAGGATTGTTTGGGTCTTCAGAAACATCTTCTTATTTTTTGCCAGTGTCGAGTAAAGATGTTTCGAGATTTTATCAATGGATTAAAATTTAATAGTAACCCTTTGTATAGGTGTAAGGCCTTTTGTATAGGTCAGGTAGGATCAGTGAAGAATGATAGTTGAAGATGAAATCAAATCAGATGCCTCATCGAAACAAATTACCAAAATTTAGCAATAATTTTCGGCAAGAACTTCAGAGGTTAACTCTGAGTACGTTTTACTAAGTCTGTGAATTGACCTGCTAAGGTCACTTCACAGACTTAGTAAAAACTCATTTACAAAATCCTTAGATTTTAGTACATAAGTATTTACGTTATACGAAGACTATGACAAAAACCCCTTATTCATAAAATACTAAAACCTCCTACAATCTACTTACTCCACTGTTTTGTCGCTTTCATTCAAACTGAGAATTTAGCATAAAAGAAAGAAACAAAACAGTTTAATAACTATAGTAGAATTATGAAAGGTTTGACGTTTTTTTTAAATAAGGTGGTAATGGTATTCCAAAAATACGCATAAACTAAGATAAAATAATAAAATTGCATTAGTGTTAATGGCATGACTAATCTGTAATACAAAGTATCTATTTTTTCACTTTCAGTTTATCCACGCAGTTTATCTTTTATAGCAAACTACAACATAAAACTGAACTAAAAACAACAACTAATAGTTTCAGTTCTTGTTGTAAGGTTTCAGTCTCAGAACAAGAACTGTAACAAGTGTAACTAAAATACGAAATGTAGATGTTGACTATTTTGTGGTCATAAGTAACTTAGATAACTACTACATTACTAATTTTACATATTCTGATTGTAAGTATTGTTAGTCAAGTCTATCTCCAAGCGAACTCTCCCAGAAACTATTATAGTTAATTCTGAATTCGTCATAATGTTTGGTTCATTGTCACTATTTAGCAAGAATTTTTATATAAGTAACTTATTATATACATAAATTTTACGCGAAACACATTCCATTAAACGACATACTTCTGCTGTATCAAATCGCAGCTCAAGTTTGTAACAGCAAATAAACACAAGTGTGCATCAGAAATATAAATAAGAAAACAGTGAAACAAATAAAATATAAAAAAAGACTTCATGCTTCCCTTACCGACACACATTATAATGCATTTTAATCCATTAAAAAAAAACTATATTCGTAGAAAGACAATACTAGGTACAATTCTTAATCTATGACTATATATGTACATACGATAGAGTTAAAGTTCTTTATTTCTAGTTTCAAATTTAAAAAAATATAATATCAAAGATTTGTTCTTAGATATCAGTTACCTACGTTTCAGAGCTCAATACAAAATTAATCTGTGGTTTCCCTATGCGTCAAAATTGAGAAATTTGTATAATATAAAAATTCTAACTAAAATGTGAATTATAAGAGGAATATTGTTCATTTAAAAGAAATCAGATAAACATGGCAAGGCGGCATATTTATACAGGTTAACGTTTTATACTACTTTATTTCATATTAAATAGAATTTTCAAAAAATATATTTAGATTGTATTACTTGTTGATAATATAGCTTTCTATTAGTAAAAGAATTTTTAAAATCTGTTGATTAGTTTTTTAAACAAAATTTTACTAAAAGTTATCTACACTTTTAGTAAAATTTTGTTTAAAAAACTCAAGTCAACAGAGTTTCAAATTATTTCAATAAATTTAGGGGTAAAAAATGACTTGAAAGAAAGAGTGTAAGTATACCTACCTCGTAAGGGCCTTAACTTGATAATACGAGTACATGTTCTTCAATACAACTAATAACAATAAATCTAGAAATAAAGATACTTACTAATATTATTCATATGAAAGCGAGTTTGTTTGTTTGCCACCTCTTTGTGTTTTAACATTTCGTCGTAATTAAATTTAGTATACATGTAATTTTTAATATGGTCATACCATGGTCATATCATGATCATGGGGATAGTCTCGTAAAATAAGTATTACTAACAAATTAACGTATTCCTAAACCAGGCATGTACTCACGGAGCCACCATAGAAATCATGGAAGACAGAACAGCGATCGACCATTAGTAACCACATATATCCGTCAGTTTATTAAACTCGCAACCGATAACTTATGGTTCGTGTACAACAAAATAACAAACAGCTATACACGAGTAACACTGGCAACTGTATTTATTGTTGTGCTACTGAGTTTTCTTATACCGGATATATCGCAGAAAATACATGCCAAAAACGATTTGAAGTCAATGAAGAAAATCATTAATCTTATGTCGGTACGTAGAACTGATTTATTTGATGTGAAAAATACATTATGGTGCATCCACACCGAGATTACTTTTGGTGGAATAACACTGTGCAACATTCAGATTATAAAGAAGTACGTAATAGAATGTACTCGTATATTATGCAATAAGATAACATAAAATAACTTTCTATTACTTTTATGATCACTTGTTACTACTATTTATTAAATGATTCTCATTACTTCTATGTCATCAATAATAAAAATGGAGATATGATAACTTTTAGAAACCAGCAATTTGAATAGCACAATATTATTTAAAAGCAATACTCCATGTTAACGAATATTATATTGACGTATGGTTGAGCAACATTCTATAACAATATTATAGGACTGCTTTTGCATATTTGACAATGTTATTTAACACGGCAATTATTAAATGTGTTGATAATTATCTTTTAGTTATCGTTTGTTACTAACACTTGACACTACTTAGATTGCTCTACAAAAAGTAACTTGGGTGTGGATGCACCTTTTAGAAAATACCCTACATTTTCTTGGGTAGTTTGAAATCTGCCTATAGATGTATGAGGTGTATCTCTAATCCATCCCAAAAACCTTTCCCTTCTTTACCCTCACCTATTACGGCTTACAGAAAGTGGAAAAAAAAATTCGTTGTAATAATAAATCTAATCTTACTGACCTAGTTTTAGAATGTTTTGTTCACAATGATAATATTTAACTTTATACGCTTGGGTAGACTAATGTCACTTTTCCTGTTCCTGCTGTGAAGTAAAAAAGCGTGCCTTTTATATTGCGGCAACTCTATTAGTATTTTAAGCTATCCCAACAGTACGAAAAGCCTTACGCCAGAAAGAATAATTCTCAGCATACTTTTTTTATAAAAATAGAATACTGAAATACATTCACAACACACATAAGTTTGTATAATTTTGCATTTGTTCTTCACTGAGAAATATCTCTTGTCTACGCTAGGTACTACTCTTCTTTCTTCTTCTTCTTCCGTGCTGTATGTCTTATTTAATTGGGGTCAAACCTCCTAAACATTTATTTATTTATTATAGTTAACAAACGCAGTTAGGATTTGGTGATGTTTTAAGAGAGACGCTGCTCCCCATCTCTTGACCGTCAAGTCCTTGTAGTCGCCTCTTATGACACCCATGGGAAAGGAAGGGATGGCCCATTCTATACAAACCACCACACAGCAATCAGCTGTCATATCGGATGTTAAATAAATAACATAACATTTTTTTCTATAATAATCGTAATCATTTCTCTTCCATTGAGACATTTTTCAGTATTGATAAATTGTCAAAAAAATCACTTGAACGAAGTTTTCAAAAGATAACAAAGGAAAAAAAATGTTTTGTAATGGGGATCCCATACGCGCAAAGTAGGTCAATCAAGATTAAATGTAAATGGTTTCAAAAATGGAGGTCATGGCAGACACATATTTTGTGGCGAATGTAAGGGAAGCTTATGTTTAAGGAGGAATAATGGATAGGTCGAAGTTAAGAGTGATTAAAATGTATTTGAAAAAAAAACTTTGATTTAATTATTTTCATGTATTTTTTGTCATACACTTGATTTATTTTTTCTACGTCTATCGCATATGCTCTCATTTTTTTTTTTTTGCGAAGTTTCAATTATCTCTGACATTACTATATTATAAATAAACTTTATTAGGGAAAAATACATTACCTAAGGCATAAATAGTATAACAATATTCTAATTATGGCACATAAATTATATATAGAAATTGTATTATTTCCAAATGAAGTTAATAAATAAAGTAAATGTTTACCTGCTCTATTTTACAGCAAGAAGTGAGTCGTGCGGAGGTGGCATGCCATGCAGTAGCTGACGATATTTGTTACCTACATTGCTCTATGCACGACCATGCTGCATATACTGTTAGTATATTATGAAATGATAGTACTATCATGACTGTTAAGACCAATTCCATAATCGATGTATCATATTCTATTTTTTTATTTTTTTTATTTTAATATTACATTATATAGCCTTTTTTCTCGCTACTTCGTACACGTGGATTTCAGAAGTAGGTAAATCAATTAAATAGACCTATTTTAGATGAAGTATCAAAATTAAACGTACACCAGAATGTATGTTAGCCCTTCGGGAACACAACTGTGTAAACGGTATCCAATTTTAAGCAGTAGTTTTTTAGATACAGACAAGTAAAATTTCTAAAAGTTATGGATTGGGCTTCTATTGCAACTATTTATACCTCCCAAATTCTCTCATGTACAGACATCGTATGCTTACAATTTTATTATATTAATATGATAAGATTTCATCATCATATTATTCTTTAACTGTCCACTGCTGAACATAAGCCTCCCTCCCCCTTAAGTGGTTTTGCCAGTAGTTGCCATGCTTGGCGGGCGCATTGACAATCGCAGTTAGGCTATAGAGGGACGCTGCTACCCGTCCCTTAGACTTCCTTAGTCGCCACTTACGACACCCACGGGAAAGGAAGGGGTGGCCTATTCTATGCCGGGATTTCACAGCCAAAGATAAGATTTGTTGATTTATATTTACCGATTTGTGTATAAAATTAAAGATCAGCAAACCTTACCATTATAATATTATTAACATGATAAAATAACGAAGTGATTTTTTACCGAATCTAGAACATACTACAGCATTAATGACTTTTTAATTGTATTTATCAGAATTATTATGAAAAAATAAAATTAAATCATTCTTGATCGATTCTTAAAAATATAACGTCTACTTTATATTAAAGGAAGAGTATTATTATCTAATGGCCAAAATTAATGCAACATCGTTATGAGGTACTATAAAACCAGTTTATACATATTTTATACATATTTTTTTCTTTTTAAGAATAAAGACCTACGAGATTTATCAATGTGCACGAACTGCTGTATGCACTCCGCTTTGCCTGAACCTATTCAGATCGAGAAAAAAATTGGTTTCTTTCGACGAATCTTCTTTCCACAGAGAAATACTTCGCATAAGGTGATATGACAGTCCAGTGATAAAACAATGTGATTCTTTACTTAATAGCTGCAAGTACGTGCCATTTAAAATTACGTTACAAAAATTGCTAATATTGAAAAATAAAAATGGTGACATTAGGTCCCTTTTTTGTACTGATGTTTCCTGCATTGCTAGTCGCTTATGATATTTTGAAGTTGAAATGGAGTGATGATACGTTGGATATTTACTATGTTACGATAAAACCTAAATTATACGTATCAGAGTAGTAGTGCGCCACCTACCCTTTAATCTTTTTCCCAATGTCCTGTACTTAAACACTGTCTGGAAGAGGCTGCTTAGCGATAAGGCCACCTTTTGTATCACTTTGCATTAATCATATACTGTATTTCTTGTTTTTATAACTGATCCAATATAGTGTAAACATACAAATTGCAAATGTTAAAATATGTTATAATTACATAAAAATTATATTTACAGGAAATCACTATTATGTCATACGTGTACAGTAATTCCTTTAACGCTCAAAAACCAATGAACAATTCAGAAAATTTTCATTTATTGTGACTGTTATCAGAGTATACTTGGTAATGTTCCAAATAATATAGAATAAATTAATTTTATCTACTGCATTATTTAATTTCAAACGCAAAACAAATAAAAAATGTTTTAAGTTTTTCTCCGAATGTTATATATATGCGACATTGTAGATGAAAAAGATAGGATTGATGTTATATATACCGTATTATGGTTTTTACTTAGATTATGAAGTAAGTACATTATACTAAGTCTATGGGATTTTATTGGTAGCATTGGTAGTATAGATTAAGAAGTGTTTATAAATTAATAAAAAAAATAGCAAAATAGCTATGTTCAAATACGAAATAATCTTTGCACGAAATATAGACAATAGTACCTAATTTCGGTGATTATATTATTATATACTCTTTGGTAGATCCTATGCTTTGTCTATGCTTATCATAATTCTCTTGAAAAACTAATGTCATAAATATGTTTTAATTAATTAATATTCTAAAAATACAAAAATATGAATAATAAAATAAATTTATCTGAAAATTGTATAATTTAGAACTTATTTATATTTAGATAAATTTCAATGATTAAACATGCCCTATCGTAGAACATTCAAATCGCTGTGTATGGACACAATTTTATTTGTTGGTTTATTTGCAATAGTTGGACATTTGAGCGTTAATTTATGGGAAAGATTAATGATACAATCAGAGTTAAACACTATGAAAACAAGTCTCCAGACTTTAAAAGTAAATAATCATTCAATTTAACATAAACTTAATATTTTTTTAAACCGACTGTTAACAAAATGTTTCTTTTGCAGATTACCGTAAATAATATAGGCAATGCATACGATTTACTACACAAAGAACTAAAGGGGTTAGTAGAAATAACCGAAATAAAGCAGTCTGGAGTATCGAGAAATAAAGACCCTTATGCAAATAATAAAGGTAAACACAATCGTATCACCAATCAAAACTCCGATCACGATCTTCAAATTCAAACAAAAGTTAAATCTAAGAACGATGAAAAATTTGAGGAATCAATGGCATTTAGTACATTAACACAGAATTTATCACATGATAGAAAAAAAAATCCCAGTAAAAATGCATCAACGCTAACAAGATACCCTTCTAAATCTACAGCTGTCGGATTGGATACAACAAAATTAATTAAATTAGAAAAGTGTTCTGATTGTAGATATAAAGAAAATAACATACTTAGTCATAAAGATTATGAATGTTGTGATCACGACTGTAATAAGTGGAAATTTTAAATGAAATATTAATAAAATAGTAACAGTGTTTTACTAGTTATAATTTATACCTGTCACAACAATCCATTAAAATCCTACTACTAAAAATGGTTCTCTATTTCTAGTAGTGGAATATTGCATTCTATTAGCACACAGTTTGGCTAGTTTGAAGATTTTGCTTCGAGTTATTTCTTACAACATCTTAGGAATTAAAAAGAGCAGATACATTTTTTCTTACTCAATAAATCTATTTGTAAGATGAGTTATCAGCTTCTTTGCTATCATAAAATGTATAAAAAACTCTTTTACTGTCTTTTTAGGCTCTAGAATACAGTCGCGACGCATGCACCTGATAAATGTAATTCCAATAATTTTAGTCATTTTAAATATATAATCAAAACAACAATTTGAAAGTAAATGATATTTATTTAATCTGAAAAATATTTCAAAATGTACCAAAACAACAATTTCCATCAGTTACAAAATTATTTGATTTGCCTAGTTAATCTTTATTTGAAACTTTACATTCTTTTTTGGGATATTTATATTCTTTTTCAGTAATCTTACTAATATTTTTGACTACTTCTGCAGAGGGTACTACGTAACGAGTTATATCAATTTTGGGTAAAGCGAACTGCATTTTAGGGTCCCAAACTAAATTACTAGTCTCTATAGTATTAGCTAATGCTTCTAAAATTTCTATTTGTCCTTCAATCTTCGGTAAATCTTGTGAGAACTTGGATATTTTTGTTTCTAGATCGTAATAATTATTCTTCATTTGTGTTAAGTTTTTCTGTAACAAACATACTATATCATATTTTAATCCTATTTCCTATGATTATTATAAATGTAAAAATACAATTTTCGAATTATAATATTATTTTTTTAGGCCAGCTTAGAATAGACCATCCCTTCCTTTCCCGTGGGTGTAGTAAGAAGCGACTAGAGAAGGACGAGGGATAAGCAGCAGCATCTCTTTTATAATATCTCTATAGAACTGAGACTGCAAATCCGCCTGCAAAGCGTAGCATCTACTGGCAAAAAGGAAGGAAGGAAGGTCTCTCCCCAAGGAAGAGGCCTATCTTCCGCAGTAAAGAGTTAAAGATTGATGTGACGATATAATATGAATATTGTTTTTATGAACTTATCTACCACTTAGAAAAAGTCACATACAGTGTTAATTTGAATTATTATAATGTGGGTTGCTATTATAATATAAAATATTTACCGATATGTCGTCAATACTCATATGGATATGATTAAAATTATATTTCTTATTACAAATGCTACAGTGGTATTCCAGCATCAAATAAATTATTGCAATCAGACAAGTCATTACGAATAAACTATATAGCCCACTTAGGAATGACCACGGCTTCGAAGTTTGTGGTGAGATGATAGCGTTAAATGGCGCTGTAGGATTTACACGAGAGTATCTTCTTCCACGTCGATTTCTTCTACCGTGATATTCCATTTTTAATTTTTTTTTTCATTTGACTTTTTTTTTACTTATTGAGAAGGCACTCTCGTTTTTAGGTAAAGATTAACATTACATTTTGATATATCTAATAAATTACAACTTAATTATTTTCGTTTTGATGATAAAAATTTATGTGATTGACAGTACATCTACATCAGACTAATTTTCACATAGTAGATTAAAATACTTCGGCCAGTAGTTTCAATTTTTAAAAAGTTTTTAATCGGTACCATCTAGTAGTAGTATAATATTAATTACTAACTTTTCGCCCACTTCTTCATATGCGTGGATTTCAGAAGAAAAACCAATAAATTAGATCATCACTACCAAATCATGGGCAGCGGTAATCACTTACCATCAGGTGAGCCGCATGCTCGTTTGCCCCCTGTGTTGTAAAAAAAAATGTGGTATTGGCATAGAATTGGCCATGCAATGAAATCGCTAGATCCCATTATTGACTTATGCTCTCTTGTAATTTTTCTTGGGGCCCTTAGTACCATGCTTAATGTAATGTTTGATATAAACCGTGGATTTATTATTTTTATTTTAATGTTAATTTAAAGAAATATCTTAAATACAAATTAAATTAAGTAACTACCTATAGGTGTGTTTAAGAGAGTCGACTGGGCCGTGCCCACCTCAGAAAAAGGTTGATGTCCACCCCAAGATGCTAGCGGAGCTTTCAACTACTATACTAAAACATCGAGCTTAAAAATATATATATTTAGTACCTTGTCTAAGGTTACTTCGAAAAATATTTTTAAATACGCTAATGATAACTACTTAAAAAATTCCAGAATTAATCTTTGGGAGAGGATACCCTATGTCATCCAAAATGTTCCATAAAATTTGATTCTGTGACATACGTACGTACGATATATAAATATAATTAAAGTTTTGAATACCATTTTCATTATTTTGACCTATTTAAATTTTTTATTGCCGTTCATCTAGAAAAGCGTCCTCTATTATATTTACATAAAAAGAGCAAACAGTATTGTGCTAAAGCAACTTGTGAAAGAAACAAGCAATTGTTATAGTATTAGAAATTACAAATAGATGGCACTAAAACTAAAATAGATATTAAGAATTACACTATTTTAACCATTCAGATACCAATGATTAAATTTTTTTTACTAAATAAAACCTGTTCTTGATTACTTGCTTACTTATCAAATTATCTATGGTTTCTGACATATACAATTGACAGATTACTGTTTAAATCTGATTTAAATAGGCGGTCTCTATGAAAAGAATAGAAAAAAATAAAAAAGTATATTCAATTCATGAATATTCAAAACATAAACATAAAATTATACAGTTCTAAAATTTATTTGTGTCTATAAATAGTGATCCTACTAAGTAACCTCTTTACTTTGACCATTTAACTTGACAAGAATCAACTTGGCGCTTGCCGCCATTTCATCGAGACGCACAAACGAGATAGGTTCATATTGCTAACTCTTTTACTCTCATTGTATTCCATACTTGGTTTTCGTTTTACATTTCAAACTCATAGTGATGTACAATTCAGATTATTAAATTATCGACATACATACATACATATATATCTGTCACGCCAAATGCTTCGATTCAAACAAACCTCTTTCACTTCTTCCACATTCATCAATCTTTTCATACACGCTCGCAGGTTACGGGTACTTTTAATTTATCGACATTTATATTATTTTTAATGCTTCATTAAAAGTAAGTCTATATTTTTTTATTTATTTGTTGTTAAATTCATCAAAAGTTAATAACATTATTTATTTGATAATAACACAATTAGGGAATTATTTCCTAAAATTGTCATTGAGACATTTGCTCGCGATATACTAATAATAATAATTGTTACTATTATAAATGTAACAGGTGCAAATTATTTTAAATATTGGAGATCTAAAGAAGTTTTTACCCGCAGCTTTATTCACTTATTATTTTTATTCCCTTACACGAACATATTAATTACCTAATGAAAGTTAGTCTCTGTTTTTTTCTTTGCTAAGTACTGCGTCTATATAAAATTATATTACGTTTAGTTGAGGTGACAGCAATCAAGAAGAAATTTCCTTGTTTTTGATTTATTACATTTTGACAATAATTTATGTCATACTATGAACTTTTACCAATACTTTCCTGAGAATGGCACACTACTGACAAAACCTTCCTTCAATGGGGAGACCTATGTTCAGCAGTGGATAATTAACAGCTGATATCATCATCATCACCATCATCATACGCACTATATAGTATAGAAAAGGAGTTAGACTGCTTTCTATCACGGTCACGCAGACGAAGTCACAGGTAAAAGCTAGACTCCAATAAGAAACTTAACTATCGACAAAATACCTAAGTGTCATTTGTACTTCCCTAAGCCCGCGTACCGGCCGGTCGCTCCGTCTCGCTGCATGATGTCATTCATCAACATACACTCACACATACAAGTTACTCGCGATCCAACTGCCGACCGCGCGCCTGTTTACAATTCTACATTCTGTACGTAGTGACTTCACGGCAAGAACCCGTGTCTGTGATTTATTTAATTTATTATTATTATATAGAATAAATAGTTATAATAGTTCAATCATGGCCACCAACAGAGCAGCTAAATCTGGATTTGCCGCCGAAGCTCAGAGAAAGGTAAGATCACCTTTATTTTTACATAGAGGCTTGCCGGGTATTAACCGACTAATTTGCGTTGTTAGGTAAGCTCTTTCAAGAGCAGGAAAAAAGTCTCTTCTGAAATATGGTAGGTTGTAAGGCTAGATATTGATTTCGGGATGCTGTGGTCCAGAATTGTGTTACAAGGACTCAACCATGACCTACATTTGTGACACATACCGTATTTGCGACGTAATTGTCGCCAGATGTTTTCAGCTATTTGTAAGTAAACATTACCTACTTTTAGCCTTATATGTAGGTATAGGTATCTATATTACCTGCTACGTAAGTACTTTTAGTAAGTACCTACTCGAAAATAATTATGCTCATACGTAAATAAATAGATGGTCACAGCTTATGGTTTCATAGGATACGGTCTACGGCATCCGTAAACACTACAACTGTTTCCCATGCGGCTGATCGCATGCTTTTTGAAACCTCAAACGTATAGGGGGAGAAGGGAAATTGGGATTAGTAGACCCATTGCTAGCAATACATCATATCAAGTCGACCTTCTCACGGTTCCCTTTGGAAATTATCTTATTCAATTCGAAGAATATTAAAGAGAATTAAACACGATGGGCTAACTGACCTGTTTTTTCATTTTCACCTATCATCCCTGGAGGATCCCTATCACACCTGTGCTCATAATTTATATTATTAATGTACCTATTTCTGAGTGCAATAAAAACATCGAATATACATCACAAGCCCAGCTATTTTCCTCACTCGGTGACATGATCTGACTCGGATCTGCTTGCATAACTTCAGAGAAATACAGAATACCCGACTCTGACGAAATTACAACATGACCAAACTCGCATAACCCTAAAATATGGCTTCCCATAAAAGTACTTACCTACATACATTCGTTATATAGGTATCCTGATCGGTTGATTAAACAGGTTTATATTTTTTATACACATGTAACACAGTTATACCTATCTATAGACTGTGGGTACCTCACGAAAAGGTGGGTAAAGCAAACCCGATTGTATTTAATTTGTTCTATATATTTACTTTAGCAATTTGTGATTTGTGGATTAAAAAAAAATGCTTTTTTGTTACTTAGAGTTCTACGTAAAATTGACGTTTTATCTATACTAATGTTGTAAAGAGGAAAGATTTGATCGTTTGTCTGTTTGTAATTAATAAACTCAAAATGTACGCAAACTGTTTTAAAAATTCTTTCACTTATAGAAATAAATATTATCAACGGGTAAAATAGGCTATATCAAAATAAATTTGATTTATTATTTTCGTAAGGGGGTAAAACGTTCAAAATCCACGCGTACGAAGTCGCAGGCAAAAGCTAAGCAAAAGCTATAAAATAAACAAGCACGGCATCTCTACGATAACATAGACATTACTAATTTAAAAAAGAATCATTTAAAATTGAGTAATAGGTATAAAATTTAATATGCACTTAAACTCAGTTAAAATAGTCCCTTAAAAGAAACGTTTAAACTTAAGCTGCCACTGAAAATTGGCCTTTTGATGGTAAAAATCTGTTCGAAAAATTGCAAAACAAAATATGAAGTAGGTGCAAAGTTTTTAGTTGTAGATTTATATGCGCAGCGTTTTCTATGATTAACATATTAGTTAAAATAATTAATCAAAAGCATTGAAAAATGTCATAAGAGGCGACTATGGGAATTTAATGGTCGAGGGCAGCAGCATCCCTCTTTAAAGTCTAACTGCGATTGCCAACCTGCTTACCAAGCGTGGCAACTACTGGCAAAACTCCCGAATAGGAGAAGGCCAATGTTCAGCAGTGGACAGATAAAGGCTGCTATGATATGACGATTGAAAAATGTTCAATTATATTTGAAAATTGAAACATTATTGCTACATTGTCATATCTCTATGAGCTAAAAAGTTAAGAACTTATTAAGTACTAGCGGCCCGTCCCGGCGTCGCACGGGTGGACATTTTTACATTTTAAAAAGTGGCCATTAAGGCTGCACACGCGACGGAAGCTTAAAAATGGAGTAACTTCTCCCGTTTTCCCAACATTTCCCTTCACTGCTCTGCTCCTATTGATCGCAGCGCGATGAAAAGTATACTATAACTTGCCCAGGAATATGAAGAATAATTGTACCAAGTTTCGTTAAAATCCGTCGAGTAGTTTTTGTTTCTATAACGAACATACAGACAGACAGACAAAAATTTTACTGATAGCATTTTTGGCATCAGTATCGATCACTAATCACCCCCTGATAGTTATTTTGGAAATATATTTCATGTACAGAATTGACCTCTCTACAGATTTATTATAAGTATAGATGTGGTATCTATTTGCAATCAAAATGCCTCGGACGTCGAGCTATCACCTCTTCGAATTGAAATAATGTACATTATATTTATTACGTATTCAAATAATGTATATGTAATATAATGATATATTCCAATTGTTTAAAAGACTTCATTAAAATTATCAATTGAAAAAAAAGAAACTATATACTCGTTTATATAAATACATTATAGACGGAACGTTTCTTTATTTATTACTCACTTAACCTCGAACATCTATCGTGAAAAAAAAAGGTGTATTGTTAAACGAGTCTGCTTCTAAGGCCTCTTTTTGCTTATAATATATACTTATCTATATTTTATTGCAAATCACACGAGTAATAATTTATAAATCAAAATAAAATCTATATGTGTGTGTACATATGTATATATGAAGCTTATTTGCTTAAAGTGGAAATAATTGTAACAAATCGTTTTTTTTTTTATAAAAAATCGATAGAAAATTTTGAACTCTTCACTTTTTATAGGAATATTCTTTCAACTTAAAAGAATTTTGTAATAGAAAAAGAGTAAATATAAGATCTGTTTCCCATGAGTGTCACAACCAAAAGGGTTCGTTTTCGGAGTGAGAGGTAAACGGGTAAATTAAGAGAAGCCACAGTGCAGCTTCTGTTAATATAATATTTATATACCTACACGTATCAACGCAAATTCTAGCATGTTGAAAATATTTTACATTGCAAGAGCTTAACAAACAGTTCTTAATCTATGACTATTTTATCATATTACTAAGTTTGACTGGGCTATTTTAACTTACCAGGATAAAAAGTAACCTGTGTTCTTTTTAAGTTTTATTGTGATTGGTTAAACCGTTAAGGTATTATGAGTTCACACAAACAAACGAACGAACTCACTTTCATATTTATAATATTAATAAGAATATTATGCAATGGCATAATTTTGACAGCTGTTGGTCTTGGTGATCATTATATAGGTATATAATTTATAATGAAAGAACATACACCTCATAGAAATTCATCTGAGATACACCTACAAGTGTATTCATGTATGCCCATCTTCACGCTGCCAATACATATTCAAATCAGTGTTCGGCAAGATGTCACGTAGTATATATGCAAAAAAATGCCATCAAATTTAGAATCTCCTTTTCGGTATTTATTATAATGGGCGAAACAGATTTATATCATAATGTGGATTTTGAATGTTCCGATTATAGTTATACAATATGTATATAATAATATACAATATGATAATATATTTATTTTTTGTTAATTTTAATACAGCACGCATTTCATTGAAACTTACATGGGAATGTGAATCTAGTAATTTTTATTTTTTAATTCCTATTTTTTTTTATTCTAAATTATTATCAATTTTTTTAATAATTATACAGGTATTATTCTCAAATAATGTGTTTATCTGAAAAAAAATGTTTTATTAACTTCTGAGCATTATTATTGACAATGTTGCTGTAGTTTTCAATAGTATTTGTTTGTTTAATTTTGTTTATATTTGTTTATTTTTGTTTAATTTAGTATTGTCTAATTTTGTGTTTCGTTTACTTGTATTTTATTTTGTGCAAATTCTAGTGGCTACCAAATTACTATTTAAGTATATAATTATATATTATTTTAGCTGTTTGTTTGCCTTATATAAATAAATAAATAGTATGTTTTATATCTATGGCTCCGATACGATCATATCTAAAATTACGTCATTACTAATACAGTACTTTTGTATTGTACACACAACAATACACAATGATTCAATTAATAGGGAGGGACACTACTAATTTTAGGCAGTTCGGTCAGCCAGTTTCGTCTGAGGAGATATCAACGCTAGCAGTACGCTCTGTCGTATGTGAATTGAATTCTGAATTTCTAATATTGACAGACAAGTTAAAGGTGGAGTTAGTACAATTACACAATTAGACTAAACTAGTTTGAAGGCCAATGTTTGATCTTTCCCTCCTCTTTAAATTTTTATTTAATAGAAACTTGTACAGTGTGTTAAATAATGTGACACAATCTTTTAAACTAGTGTTTTTTTTTATTTAACTTATACTTCTAAAAATAAAAAAATATATAAATTCTTAAAGAAGGAACAATCTGTATCTGTATAACAGCATTACCCAGGGGAAAATGGATTGTTAGTGATGGAGACTGAGAATCCCATTGGTAGCAATATACGCAACCAGGTCGATCTCCTCGTGGTTCCCCCTGGAAACTATCATGGTTAATTCCTGATGAGTTCATCATGATGGGTTAACTGGCTTGTTTTCATTCTCATCTATTACCCTTCACTGGTGCTCCGCCAGCGTATCCTGTTAGCGCAGGCGGGGTTACCATTCCATTCTCACCCATAAAAAAAACAGCATTACACATTACAAAGTATGTAAATACCTATTATTATATAGTGCCGTTGCTACAGATACGGTTGTACTTTTTTGGTTTTTTTTTATTTTCTTTTTCGTTTTGATAATGTAAAAAAATTCTACTAAAAGATTTTTATTGAGATCCTATTAATAAATACTAACACTAAGAAATGGGTTACATAATTTACTCCTATTACAAATATCCCAAGAGTATTCTTCAGCGTTTGAATAGTGTTCTTTCATTTTAAGCAATTTTCAATGGAGTTTTTATATACACCTGTATTTTTGTGTTTAGCGATATCTTTGACAATTTTGTACTGATTTTAACAAT